TTATTATTATTATTATTATTATTATTATTATTATTATTATTATTATTATTATTATTATTGCTCATTCTCACCTAATTTAATGAAACTGTTAAACTTTTAATAACATAATTATTTACGGAAGACTTAAAAATAAATAATTTAATATATTCTCTTAATTTAACTTTCATTTAAGTTTTTATTCGTTTCAATTATTTATTGGTTCTTGTTACCTAATAATAATAATAATAATAATAATAATTTTAGGCATTTGAACCATTTAATACAGTACTTAATCTTCTCCGTATTTTTTTTATTCGTATAAACGATACAATAAATATAGTAGAGCGTTGATACATATAGTGAGCAATATTACATGCGCGCTCTTGTCTTTTCCCTATGCGTCCCACGTCGACGTCTGTGGTCGTCGCGACGCCAACGTCGGTTGTCGGTTTATCAGTCGTGAGGCCGCGTTACACCTCGGAAAGTCACTATCACTCTTATTACTATTGTTGTTATTACTTTTATTATCATCATCATCATTATTATTATTTTATATGTACACGCTGATCTCATCCATATGTCATTATTTTTTATTGTTAAACTTTAAAAATTTTTATTAATTTCACCATTTTTAAATATCAAATCTGTGATTGAAATTTTAATTACCTTCTAATAAATATGTAATAGCAGTAAAAAGTAATGAGAAGTAAATAAATAAAAATAATAATTTTTAAAACAAATAATTGCAGGTAAATATAATATATTATTATTTAATAGCTTACTAGTTAAAATTAAATATTTATTAAAAAGATTATCACTTATATTATTTTTAGTGTAAATATATCATTATTATTAGTGTTATTTTAGTGTTAATTGAGAGAATAAGAAAAAAAATTATATTAATTTATATTAATAGTTGGATAATTGATAAAGCGAGGGAGTTTGCCTATAATAAAATAATTGTACCAGGCGATTATAAGTATAACCGCAGTTCTGGTATTGTTGAATAAGATAAATTAATCGATTTATTCTCATATCATTGAGCTTATTACATATTACTTGAGATAAATCGATAGATGCAACACTTTCAATTATTCAATAAAACTTTACTGTTAATAATCATAATAATAATAACAATAAAAAAGAAAATAAATTTTATAGTTTAATCGGTCTTTTATTAGCGTCTAAGGGGATAATAAATAAACTATCTAATAATGATTGATTATTATTTTATTTACTTACTTATTTATACTAAGGGGAGATTATATTGTATCTGATAATAGTTTTGGAAAAAAAAAAGATATATATACATACACAGTATGCGTTTGATATATCACGAAACTGTGAAAACAGACCAAGAATTCACCAAAGCATGAAATTTAAATGACATTTTGGATTTACATTATAATAATACATAAAAAACATAATAATAAAGACATTATTACCTATGTCATTCAATAATTCACAGCTTTTATTTATTTTAACTATAAAAATAATAAACTACTGTCTTTATCAATAATTATATAAATTATTTTATTTAAAATAAGTAAAATAATAGTATAATTAACAGAGAGAAGTAATACATAATTCTTAATTACTTACTAGTAGGCGTTATTTGCGTTCAAGCAAAAGGTAATGATCAACGACCTTATTCCCGGTTGACATCAGATTAATGAGCAAATGAGCATCAAAACCTTCCATAATATTTTTGATGATGATAATAATTTATAATAATTATTATATTTTTATTGCAAAAGTTGTTTTTTAAAACATTTAAAATATATTTTAAATTAAAAATGATTTCAGATTTTGTTGGGTGTTGTTGATTGTTGATTTGAATAGAAATGGTTTCCGCTGCAGTTTTGGGAGCAGCAACTGGAACAGGATTGGCTTTGGTGGTTGCCGTTACTATTGTTGTTTATCGATATTATTCGGTAAAACGATTAAGTAAATATTGGAGCACGCTTGATCGTTGGCCTGAACCACCATCCAACAATAGTACTTCATCAGTAATCGATAATAATAACTGTAAAGATAAAAATTCACCCTTATATGTGCTTGATTGTTGGAGAAAAACTCATCGCAATTATTATGCAGTTCAATCTCAGGTATTTTTTAGATTTTTATTAATAATTTTGTTAATTTTAACAATGCCTGACTAATGACTGTTTTAACTACTGATGTAGACGGTAAATTACCTAAATTATTATACAAGTGAGTCTAGGTCGATAATATAAAAATCCTAAAATTTTATTGGAGCGAGCTTTAAAGCTCTGAATTACCGATTGTTAATATCTTATGTAAGGGGATATGATAATAACTGATGCGATATAACAAATAAATTTTTTACGTGTATTTGAAAAATTTTTATTTTATTTCATCGAACAAAAAATATTGATTAGTTTTTTAATCATTTTTATTAAAAATTTCTCTCAAACTTATTATTTTATTTAATAAATTATAACTTATTTTCTAAATTTTTTTTAAAATTTATATTTCAATTACAGAAATAATTAACATAACAATTTAAAAATAAAACAAATAATTAAAGGTTTAGAAATATATATAAAAAAAAATTTTTTTTTAGTTGTAACAAAGTACATCTCTAAGATATATTGATTAATATATATATATATATATATTGATGATATAGCAGAAGATAGAACCTTAATTATATAAGAAAAAAAAAAATTATTAGTTGTATATCTACTAGGGACAACAAGGTTGAAATAACTAAACGTAAACTAAGAGAGTATGGTAGCCGGGTTGTTGAGTAGTTGAGTAGTGGTCCTTGGTCCTTGGTGTTACCGTGCGAATCTAAAATTTACGATCAATACAACTCTACTACAATAAAAGCTATAGGTATATATAGAAGTAGGTATCAGAGCTTTCAAGACCACTGCCATCAGCTTTCCGCTTTCTACTTCCCACTTTCCACTTACCGCTTTCTAATAGAGGGTATACTCACTTAACTATTTAATAATAATAATGAAGATGATGACAATCATAACCAAAAGACATTATTTTCATTTATTTATCATTATTATTATTAAACTTTAATTATTTAAAATAATTATGAAACTGATAAATTTTTTGTCTTATGAAATTATTTTTATGCTACTACTACACTTTGATAAGGCTCTAATTTCTCCCCAACTTTTAATTATAAAATTAAATAATTTACAAATTTACAATTATATATTATCATCTCTCGCAGAATAGAGTTGATATATATTTATTTCATAGTTGTTTTATAAGTTAAAAATGTAAGCTTTGATACACTGTCAGAAAATAAAATAAAAATTCGGTTTTAGATTGCAGACTTTGTAAACAATTTAGTTGTTTGAAAATTTAAAAGCTTTTTACATATATTATAATCAATTTTTTTTTGCAAGCAAATTATATTCATTAATAATTTTTAGAATAAGAGATAATATACAAAACATAAAAGTTGGCCTCATTTTTATTGTACCTATATAAATTTAAAATCAACAAAAAACCACCATAAAAAATAATCAATAACTTTTACAGATCCAAATAATAAATCACATCAGACAAAATTTACTTTAATTTATCAAAAAAAAAAATCATAATAATAATAATAATAATAAAAAATGAAAATGACAGATAAGGTGAGGATTAGAATGTCGTAGTAGACCTTGACGATATGGAATATATTGAATCTTGGAGCATTACGGTGATCTCTGTACGCAGTTTACCCAGGTGGATATGGAAGGCTAGAAGCAATACAGAGTATATAACCTGTTGCGACGCACGCATAGATTTCTCTCTCTACTTTTGTTGTTATTATTATTATTATTATTATTATTATTATTATTATTATTATTACTATTATTTCTGTTTCACTCTCGCCTATGTTATACACTAGACGGGTAGTCGGTTGGCAAGCAAGGATGGGAGCTGAAAGTTTATCAGGTAGATATGTGCCTTGTGTTCCCTGCATAGTGTAGTATACTAGTATCACCACAGCACCACCCTTGCTGGCCTCACTTCGAGTTACTTCGACTCGCGTCGACTCACATCGCGCAATCAGGAGCAGTTACTACCCTCTCCTTGCTCCTTTAGGATTTGTCCTCGTTGCCCTCGTCGTCACCCTTATAGTAGTCGTTGTGATAGCCACCGTCGCTCATTTCGGGATATTCCAACTGTTCTGTTGTAGTATCCATTATATTTTCGCGATCCGTATTTTTATCTAAAACAATTTTAATTATATTAAATATTATTATTATTATTATTATTATTATTATTGATATTATAGTAGTGGAATTAATATTTAATAAATTTGTGTGACCTGACAAAGAATAAATTAAAAAAAAAAAAATATCCAAAATATCTTAAAATTAAATTACACATAACATGTTAAAAATATTTTTTTAATAATTTAATCGAATGAGTTTTTAAGTGAAAAATTTTATTAAATATCAGTGCCTGATTTTTTATTATTTTTTATTATCAAATAAAAATAAATCACTTTAATAAATTTTAAATCCCTTTGTTCTTTCAATTATTTTCTTATCAGTATTATAAAAAACTACATCAACGTCAGAATCAGAACAATCAATCCACGGTATAAATATTTCAATAAAAAAGAGGTTATAGTACTTGAATAACAATAAAAACAAAAGCATTATTGAATCTTTAATCATAATTAAATAAATCAAAGAGCCGAGTTTATATAAAACAATCTTTCAAAATATATATATATATATATATATTTTTTTTTTTTGAAAGCTATTTGTTAATCATAACAATAAATTGACAATCATTTGAAAAAAGGATTTGAATCGATACGCGTGTATTATTAATAATAATAATAATAAAATAAAAATTAATATATAAAAAGAAAAGAATTAGTATAATTATTTGATAAAAATAAAGAAGAAAAAATAATTAAATAAGCACTTAGACATAGCAGTGGTATTGGACGCACTCGTCAAAGTGCCGGACAAGTTGTCGGAAGTATTTGGGGATGTATTGGAGTTAGCATGCGGCGGTGGAAGCGGTGGAAGCGGTGGAAGCGGTGGAAGCGGTGCAAGTGGAAATAAAGGTGATAAAAATTCTAGCAATAGTTCTGGAAGTAGAATAGGAATGGTTACTGGGGTTGCAATAATACGAGATCGTTGGGTCCAGAGGGGCTCTCCCTCACGATCACCCCTTTCTTCAGTAACAACCACTGACAGCGCTGACAGCACAACTAGTTCCGAGGTACTGTTATTATTTTATCCACATCCAATAATAGAATACACTTGTTGCACTTGTTCTGAAAAATAAAATTTAAAATTAATAGTTGATATTATTTTAATAAAATAATACATTTATAATTATTAATTATTAATATATAAGATGTATAACAGTTTACAGATATTACAATTTAAAAATTTCGTTAAACTAAATATGTCTTAGGCGCGCAGTAGCCTATCGGATCCGGCCCTTGCTACCAAAGCATTGGACCGGGTTCGAGTCCGGCGTACACCAATGAATATTTTCAATATTTAAGTGTATTATTCTGCTCAGCCCAAGAAATACAAACGAGTTCCAATCTCAAAAGTTTACCCCCTACCGTAGTCGCTCATGACCTTAGTAGTTTATGCGACTTTAAACAAATTAAAAAAAAAAAAAAAATCTGTCTTTTATGTCGATTTATTATTTTATAAATTTGTCAGCTATTAGGTCTGGTTATTCCCGGTAATACTACTGTCCTACTATACATGTATAGACATGATAATATGATTGCTGACCGACATTCTCTCTACATATTCTATCAGCTATCAGCTATATTAAATAATAATATTACAGTTTTAGTTATCTTCCTCTTCCTACATGCTACTCCTGTCATCGCATGTCCATCCTTCTCTGTAATTAATTGTCAATTATTATATTATTACATATTAAACTCTTAGTATTTTATTTTATTTATATTTTATTATAATATATCGATAAAGCATATATCAATATTTTATTGTACTTTACTAACGTATTATTGAATTCTCAAGAGATATATACGTATATTAATATCAAAGAATGATATATTATAGGAATAAAAAATAAAAAAATTTCAATTGTATTTTTCACGCTGTTTGATGTCCACAAATATCTTTTATTTTTTTTAAATTATAAAAATTTTTACAAATCCTTGATTTAAATTTAATTATTAAAGAAAAAATAAAATCGATAGAAAGATAACAGAAAAGCAAATAATATAATACTTGTTAAACTAATACACTCAATAAAATTTATCAGATAAATCAGAAACCATTCAAGTTACTGTGAAATTTAATATGTTAAAATATATATTAAAAAGAAGAATAACTACAAGAATATCCACTTAATTCTAACTGTTTAGTTATTCTGGTATTTTACTAATAATTAATCAATTATATAAGTATATACTGTACAGATATTTCATTAAAGTTAATATTAAAAATATTTTCTTCTATTAAATAACAATATTTTATATGGTATTTAAATTTAAATAGGACTGTTCAATTACTCAATTATCAATTCTATTGATTTTTATAAAATGTATAATATATATGTTAACATTAAAAAATAAAATAATAATATAATTCAAACTATATTTAAGTAATTTTACTAAAAGTTGTTTTTTATTGATTACATGAAACTCGTGACCCGGAAAAAATAAATAATTGAATATATATTTTATTGTAATTTATTATTCCTCTTTGTAGAATAATACCATAAACTTTATATTAACATATAAAATATTTTTGGAATGATAATAACGATAAAAAAACTAAAGTTAACGTTTCTATTCATTTATGCGTATATGAGTATACACTGTGCCTATAAATTTAAATTTTGTTTCCGGTTTTTTTTTTTTCCCAGACTAAGTTTTATAAAAGTCATTAATTTAAAAACTTTGTTTATATTCCAATAAATAATATTCTGTCTCTATTATAGTTTACACCGTTTGTTATTTTTAAACTATAAAAAATTTTAACGACGAGTTTAATAAATTTATTTTACAAAAAATAATATAATAGGAATATCTTTGGGGGTTGTGTCAAATTTGAAATTTAGGTCAAGGCGGGGTCAAAAAGAGAATACAGGGAAAATTATATATGAATTGCTTAAATTCCCAGAGGTAACTGAATTAAAATTAAAAATAAACTATTTAATTAAATGTTTTACAATAGCATACTTTTTTTATATAATACAATATATATATATATATATATATGTATATCTGGATGCTGTTTATTTTATTTAATTTATCTTTGTCTTATTTTTTATCTCGCTGACTCATTGTAATGGTAGTATATTTAATCTCCTAAATTTTTTTATAAAACTTGATAAATATTTTCAGAGCATTATTCACAGCATTGATAGTTTACTAAATAATAATAATAATAATAATATTAGTTGTTATTTTTTTTTTATTTCAGGAATTTAATGTTGCAAAGGAACATCACGCAATTCAACCCTCACCATCATCTACTGGGGCTGACGGTAAATTATTAATAATTTTATTACGATACAATATTTTATATTTTTCTACTACGATAATTTTTATAAATTATCTAGTCTGAAAAAAAACCAGAAAAAAAGAAAAACAATATTAGAAATTTATTTATATTGTGTATTATTGCTGATGTAAAGGTGGTTCAGGCTTACCACACCAAAGTCGAAGTTATTCAAGCAGCGGAGCGTCAATTCAAGGTCCGGGGGGTAGAATTCTCGTTAGAAATCCCTCAGTAAGCTCACAAAGTTCATTAGAAGGGGCCACTACTACTGGTACCGCATCTGGGTCATCAACTCACCGTGGATCATCACCACAAATTCGAGCTTTTGGCCCTGATGGCCGACATCATCATGATTTGGTTCATCCATCATCTTCATATCCACCCAGCAGGAGCTCAAGGTTTTTTTTTCTTTTTAGTTTTTTTAAACAAAATAATAAATATATGATAGTAATACTGTTTAAACGATTTATAAAAGGTCACCATCACCAGCACGGGCATCCTCATTAGATGCTAGATGCGGAACTCCAACAAACTGTACAGGAAGTACTCAAACTGGAGTAGCTTCACCATCCCAAAACTCTTTATCATCTTTAGGAGCATTAGTAACCGCAACAAGTACATCTACAGGCATAGTACCACCAACAAAACCAGCAAGTCGATGTCTTTCACCTCTTTTAATTCCGCCACCTAGAACATCAATAAGGTCTTTTATAAAATATTAAAAATTAAATATTTTTTTTTAAATAGAAAATTAATAATATATTACAATTACAATTTCAATAATAGTGATGGTAGCCCAGCACCTCCAGCTTCTCCCTTGGGATCTCTCCAGCCAGATCTTTATCTGCGCCGTGATGGTCCACTTTTTTTAAGTGCTCGGAGGTTAGTATAATGATAATTTGATAATAGTAATTAATGATCTATCTATTGTATATTGTTAATATTAATGATAATAATTATTTAAAAATTAATAGAACTGGAAAATGTATGGGTCGTCTTCACTTACGTTTAAGTTATGATTTTGATAAATCAGATCTACATGTTCATCTGATAGAAGCGCACGATCTTGCTGGAACGGATCAAGGAGGGTTTAACGATCCTTTTGTTAAACTTACCCTCAGTCCGGAGGTTGATAATAGAAAGCGACAAACTCATATCCATAGAAATGATCCAAATCCATTTTTTGATCAACATTTTAGATTTCCTGTTAGTTATGATGAACTAAAAGAAAAAACTTTATTACTTCAGGTAATAATTATATATTTAATAATAATTTTCGTTTGCAATAAATTGATTTTATTAATTTTTTTTTAAAAAGGTATTTGACTATGATCGTTATTCACGAAATGATGTTGTTGGTTCGGTAAGAGTTGCCATGGAAGAACTTGAACTTGTTTCATCCACCTCACCTGTCGAAGTTTGGGGCGAGATAGCTCGTGAAAAGAAAGCGCCTGAGGATATACAACAAGTTCTTGTCTCTCTGTCTTATTTACCAAGCGCTGAAAGACTTACAGTGATGATACTTAAAGCAAGAAATTTATTTCCACCCCAGGTTCCACTTTTTTATTTTTATTTCTTTACTATGTCATACTACATTTCTTGGGTCCAATTGTCCGCTTACGCTGCTGTGTGTGTCAGAGTACATTCAGAATAAAGCAACAAAGACTCCAAATGAATAACAAAACTTTTTTAAAATAAATAAACGAGCAAGAATGGAAGAAAAAGAATAATTGCGGAAGTGTCGGGACGATCGATAGCCTCAAGAGTGACTTCCTCAATCGGGAACGGGATAGTCGACGGCAGGATCGATAAATCCAAAGGCAATATTCGTCGCTGATCCAATTTATATTATCTTTTTTTGTCTATAGTCACAACTTTATAATTTATTTAATAGTTATTTAAATTTTATAAACTTACAGACTGATTTATACTCCGAAAGTAACTTTCGTTGAAATTCTATGATCTCTATGCAGCGATTTGTCCAACTACTTTATTACAAGTATGTAAGAATAATAAATTATTTACTCAATAATGGATCCTGTTAATTAAAATTATTTGCAGACTCTCGAGAGCATGACCAGCAAAACGTCAAACCCGTCCGTAAATAGAGCTGTCGTAAACAGAGTCGTTAAATTAAGCCTCGACACATTCACACATTTTTAGTCCCTTGGCAATCAATAATTGCGATAAACGAAAAATAAAAATGAAATAACAACAAAAGTTAAGCTCTGACTTATCACAAATTCTTAATCGAATTATTCATCACAATTATCTATTTAAACAATAACTATTGTCGTAAACCAATCCGAGTTGGTCACGACTCGAGATAGTTTCGTAATTGATAAAGACTCCTGAGAAATTGATAAGTGCACATAATTACGATAATAGCGGTAGCATTATACCTTTATACCTTTTGTGAAGAAGCTCTCTGAAAAAAAAATGAATAATAAAATGTAAAAGATCGGCCTGGTCTAGATTTTTCTGGATAGAAGGCCAACCCGACAATGCTCAGCTTATCTTTTTACATTTTATTTCATTTATTTCTATTCTCTCGTCCATTCTTACGCTACCACAATTATTATTATTATAACAGTAGGCTGGTCAACGAGTAGCATTAAACCTAGTAGTCGCTGTTGTTGCTGCTGTTGCTGTTATAGTCACCGTGTGGTGTCCTGCAATCATAACGGTACTAAATTCATTCCTTATTCAGATGCTCTACTATTATACTACCATAATTATTTTATATTTTATATATTATTATATTTGATTACAGTAAAAATATTTATAGGTGACAAAAAAATTATAATACATTTAGATTTTTTAATAATAAAACTTGTCTAGCTGATAAAACGTTGATATTAATTAACATGTATAATCTGAGGACTTTAATAAAATATAAAAAAAAGTTAATAGACTTCGTTTGAAGTGATGAAAAATGTAAATGCAAATTATCAGCATGTTGAAAAGTGTAAACCTGCAAGTAAGTACAAATGCAGACTCTTCCTCGAAGGTTTAGATAGATAAGCGTAAATTTATATATATTTTTTCTTGGAGTTGTCTTCATTAGTCAAGTATTGGCGGCATCATTAGTCTCAGAGTTAAATACCGATACCGATACACAGAAAGGATATACACCAGTGAGAATCTAAATAGATCGGACACTTGATTCGGACGATTATAAGTATAAATGGAAATGCCGAGGATCCAATAGAAGAACTGGTTTACTGATGTCTCAAATCCCATCCTACACATATAACTCCGCAACTTTCCTTATTCTTTGAAGCTTCGTCTAATTAACTGCCCGTTTAATTACAAACACTTACCTCTAGAACTCTATTAGAGGTAGTTTTACGCAAATAGCCTCGCTATTGCAGATTACATTATACAAAATCGGTAAAAGCTTAAAATTACCATGTAATACCCCCATAATCTTCGGGTTGATGGTATAATCTTAAGATAAAGAAAGAGGAAAAGAAGAAAATAATAATAACAACAATAAAAAGAGAGCAGAGTACAACACACACACACGTGATTTATAAAACTACGGGGTCGTTTTCTTACGTCCGTTTAATTCAATTGCGTAATACCCTCTAGTGCATCAATTTTTTCTCTCTGCTCGGTTTATTCGTATGTCGGAGGTTTGAGCTGAGAGTGTGCTCGTGATACATATGCGATGGCGCAAGGGAAAACGGTGTATGGACCACGCCGATGATTTTATACACATTACAGATCCTTACACTACTCTACTTTTGAGCGTGTATTTGTATATATAGTGTAAAATTAATGTATATAGATATTTATTAAGCAAGTTGTGTTAGTCGGGCGTGGTCCCGGTGGCCATGGAATGCGCTCACTTTCACCAAGAGACGCGAGAGAGCCAAGTCAACTCTTTTTATTTTTATCAACAAGGATAAATGTATACATTGGTCTTTTATTCGTCTAGTTGCGGATATACAAACACGCAGATCACCTCACCAGGACCTTTACTTTATTCTATTTATCAGTAGGTATTTTAAATTGCCATGTGCTCTATTATATATATATATATATATATATATACATTTACATATACATATATATTTATATTTATATTTACATATATTTGTATACGTAGAAACGTGAAATATTGTGAATAATTAATATTTTTCCTTTATAACGAATTTATGGTAACTTTAAGTTTAATGTATTGAAATATTATCATTTTTTCAATTGATAATTTTCTGTATATAATAGATTTGAAAGGAAATACTCAATAATATGAAAATCGGGTAACTTGGAAATTAAGAAAAAAATAATAATTAAAAATAATTATTAGTTTTAAGAATAATTATTAATCGTCGTTTTTCTATTTGTTAATTTATTTAAAAATCAAATATCATAAATTATAAATAGATTTCTGGACATTTTTTTATTTAAAAGTTGCAGATAGTTAAATATTATTATTATAATTATTATCATGATCACATCATATCATCATGAAAAGTTATTTTCATTATTATTATTATTATTATTATTATTCTTCTTATTAATATTATTATTGTTTTTTATAAGATTATCCGTTTCGATAATATCGACAAAATCTTCTACACCAGCAGGTCGTACAGATAGCGTAATACTGGCACCATTTTCATACCACTTGGTCTTTAATTTAACGCAACATTTTTTTCCTAAAATGATACTGTATTAATAACTGAATAATATTTATTAAAAATTGATTATTGATAAAAATGATGTTACCGATTAGACCACGCTCATGTGCAGCTGCTAGTTGATTAATAACACGCCTTTCAACTTCATATTTAATCGAACGAGCACCATAATGTGCGTCATACCCATCAGCCAACACTGAAAGAACTTCACGATCCCATTTCAATTCAATCATATGCTTTTCTTTAGCTCTTTCAGCCCAAGTCTCCAATTCACGAGCCACCAATTTAATTAACTCTGCGTGAGAAAATGGTAAAAAATATACAATTTCATTTATTCTACCCAAAAATTCATCTCGGCGAAAATGAGCTTTTAGTATTGGGCGTACCTAAATTATTTAAAAAATAAATTATTTACAATAGATGAATTTTTATACTAATTTATTCATTTATACTAACAACTTGGTCTTTAAAATTTCTTGAAATGACAATATGCTCCGGCTGTTGATCTTGATCGGAATTTTGATCAAGCCTGTGACTTAAAATGCGCTCTGCTTCAGATCTAAGCTGTATCGCATGTTGAGCTATTTCTTCGCTGGCAAGATTTGATGTCATTATAAAAATAGCGTCCTTACATTGTATTGTTTTTCCTTTGCCGTCAGTTAATCTACCCTGAAAATAATAATAATAATAATAATAATAATAATAATAATAATTATTATTATTATTATAATAACAACAAAATTTTAATCATCAACTTTAATAAATGTAAAAAATAAATTTTATTTAAATAAAATTACTTCATCAAATAACTGCAACAAAACAGTAAGAACATCAGGATGAGCTTTATCAACTTCATCAAACAGTACTACTGCATTTGGATTTTTTTTCAATAATTTAGTCAACTGACCTCCGTCATCATGGCCAACATACCTAATCGACAATAATAATAATAATAATAATAATAATAATAATTTTTAAATAATTAATTGAAATTTTATATATAATAAAAATAAAATACCCAGGCGGAGCTCCAATTAATTTAGCCACTTCATGTTTTTCTTGATACTCAGACATATCTAATCTTATAAATGCATCTGGTTTGTTTTTATGAATATATGCAGCCATTTGTTTTGCTAATTCGGTTTTTCCGATACCAGATGAACCAAGAAATAAAAATACCAAAGGATGTTGTTCATCAATCCAACCATTTTCTTTTCGTCTAATTGCTAGAATAATAATAATAATAATAATAATAATTTTAATTATTATTATAATAATTACCATTACTAAATAAAAACTTTAATAAAAAATTGTGATTAAAAATTTTACTAGATGCAACAATGGAAATAGGGCCCTCTTGACCAACAATATGTTGCTTTAATCTCTGCTCTAGTGGAAATCTTCGTCGTTCTTCCGCTTCCTAAAAGTAATTACTAAAGTTATTATTTAAATAAATAAATAAATAAACAAATAATGATTACTTTGGCTTTCATTATCTCATCATATTTTTTAGCATGCTCTATTAGTAATTCTTTTATTTCAACACTTCTTGCATAAACATCAGCTCTATGTCCTGAATCGTTTTCAATAGTTGGATCTGCCCCAGCATCCAATAATACTTTGACTGTTGATATAGAATCAGCAAGTACAGCATAATGTAGAGCTGTAAATCCTTTGAATGAAGCTCTATTATTCAGTCGATCCGAAAACTCGTCTTCTCGATTCATTAAAACTGTTGAATAATAATATTAAAAATTGATAAAATAATTATTGAAAAAAAATTTTAATAATTACCATCTAAATAATGAACTCCTTTTTCTTTAGCTGTTTTGTAAACATTAACAAATTCATCTCCCGCATTGACGTCGCTACCTTTACTTAATAAAAATCTAACAGCATCAACTTGACCATTTATTGCTGCACACTGCAACGCTGTCCACCCAAAAACGTGTCTACTATTTACATCAAATCCTTCAGCTACCGTCTGTTGATTAATTTTTTTTTAATAAATTTACAAAACTAAAACAATAAATCAATTTTAAAAACTCGATAACCTTTTTTAAATCAGTTATGTTTCCGTATTGAGCTGCTCTAAAAAATCGTTTCTCTGTAAACAAAAAAAAAAAAAAAAACAATAAATAATGATAAATTCTATAAATAATACCATATGATAGGTATAGAAGTTATTTGTTAATAAACAAATTTGTTCTAAAAAAATGTATTTTAAATTTTTGAAATTTCTACATGTCAAAATTTTTTTCTTCAATAATTTATTTGTTGAAAATATTATTAAGATTATAAAATATTTACTGAATTAATTTTAATAATAGTACCTTGTGAAAAATTATCACTGCAATTAGCAATTATTAATGATATTCCACCCAAAACAAAAGTTAGATTTTTGAAGCTATTTGGATCATTGCATTTTTTTCTTGATGAATGTTTATTCCATGACAATGATAATGATGATGATGATATTAGCGATGGTAACTGTGGGCTGATTCTTGTTGACGATTCATTTAATATTATATTATTAAAAAATTTATATAATGAACATTGACAATTAGCATGACTTAATTTATTTAAATGTAAAACACAACTTAACACTTTTTCTTTGTAAATATTTTTATCATGCAAAATAATATTGCATGATTGATATGATTTTTCCTTTAAATAAATAAAAAAACTATTATTAATAATTGAAATTGCTCTTTTGGGAAGAAAATATAATTTATTGTAATAATAACGTGACATTTTTTAATTTTTACGGTTGGTTAAATCCGTTTATGACTCTAAGTACGTCTGTGTTAATTTCCATGGAAAATTTTACTATTATATTAATGAATTAACACTTAACACAACAAAAACAACGACACATGTTGTAAGTATTATCTAAGTATACTAAGTAAATAAAAATAATGGTATATTATATTTCATGTGTATTGATTACCAACAGTTGAGTATAAAAACTATTTTAACAGATTTCATATGACGATATCTATATAGAATACACAAGTTACTTTAGTTAGGAAATCGAAAATGCTGTTACTACTATAAAAATATTAAATCCTGATTTTATGTTAGTTTAGAAAGTAAGCATAAAATTACTTGATTTGCCACAAAAATAATAATTCAATCGAATAATAAAAAGTTGCCCGCCGGTGTATCGCGCATAACAAACACATAATTGTGTTAGAGCATGCGCGGTAACGGAGAATCGAACAGAGACAAAATAACTACGAAAATTGCGCCAAATCGTTAACTATTTATCTTTAAAAATGTCAATAGTTCACGAGATACAAGGTCATTTCTTAATTATATATCTAGAGATAGAGCATTTTCAAATGCAGGCTAAAAACTTATTATAATAAATTGACTATCGGTGAGAATGATATGAAACCTTGAAAAGGAACTAATTCAAGTCAAGACACAAAATTTCTCTAAAAAAAAATCGATTTTATCATATGACTATCCTGGAGACAAAATTTATTCTTATTCTCTTAATAATATAGATTTTCAACTATCAAATAATTGATATGTCGTTTCTTTGTAAACACTCAAGTGTTTATATTAAAGTTATCTCATATGTCTTAATATGGTAACGATTGACTCATGAAACAGGTATATAGATATATATATATATATTTTATGACTTTTTATAATTGTGACATTAGAGTAAAAAGCATGAAGGTACACTTTGGAACCGTAAATCTTTTATTGAATTTTAATTTATTCAAAGGTTTACTAACACACATTTATTATTAATGATGGATGATGGCGATGTGTACCACACACACATCTGCTTGTATAAATTGGTGACACAACTCTTATATAAATATATATAATATAATAAGTAAAGTATAAGATAGAAGTAACAGCGATCGTGGGCATACCACGCCTCGCTTATTGAACTCGTCACCGTCGTCGTCGCAACCGCCATTCTCCCATTCACAGTCATAGTTGATTCGAGCACACACGTAATGTAACACACAGTAGATCAAGCACGAGGTGTACTGTCGCTGTTTGCTGTTTTGTTTTGTTATTGTATGATTAATTTTTAAATGTGCAATTGGAGTAAAAATTCTATATGAACATTTAATTTAAAAAAAAAATTGTAAAAAATAATTTTTTATTGTTAAATAAGTATAATGAAATTGTAAAATTAAAATTAAGTGAAATGTTTGTTAAAATATTTAAGACTGATTTAATTTTTTGCAAAGCAATAATGTACACAAAAAAAAAATTAATTGATAAATTTTCTAATTGTGGATGAGCCAATTGGTTGGCTTGCTCGATTGGTCGGTGGATCATCATTAAGTCAAGAGTATTGACTTATTTATAGGATTTGAGTGTGTGTGTGTGTGTGTGTGATAAATAGCGATACTTGAATTTGCTGCTTTTAAATATTTTATACTGTTGGACGGTATACAACACAACCAGTCAAATGAAAGTTTCTTTACACAAGTCTCCGGTAGATTATAATTTTGTTTAAAAAGAAAGTTTATACGCAGCTTCTCGTTTTAAAACAACACCAACAACTAATTATGTCTTCGGATTCTGGGATTAAAAAATATTATTTAAAGCGTAATAATTGGGTGGAGAGTTTAAGAAGCGGGGTAGTTAATGATCGGTACAAAAAATTAGAAGACGGTTGGGATGATACTAATATTATAAAACATCCTCGTGAAAAAAAGTGGCAAATAACAATGAACGGAGGCTACACGGTAGACAGTATCGATGGAAAAATAATAGAATCTAACTCGCGTCGTAAATCCACCTCCCGTTTGTCTCTTTGCAGTAAGAATTTAAAGAGAAATAATAATAAACGGCATTACAAGTCTTCCGGTAATGTTATCGAATGGGAAAAATTATTGGAAATGGCATCGGCGAGAAAACTTGCTAAAAATAAACGTTTATTTAATAATCCGCTTCAGGCTATGAGTGAAACTTGTTTATTAAAAGACTTGACATTGCTTCTTGAGGATAAAGTGTCACAACACGATCAGGTAGAATTTATTCGTTATGAAAAAAGAAATTTATTTTATTTTTTATAATGATAGTTTTAATTTAAATTATTTATTTATTTATTTATTTAATCATTTTTATTTTTTTTTACAGGCAAGAAGTGAAAAACATTTAGCTGAAGAACAATCGTGGCTTGCATCGGAACACGTGTGGCTTTTGCATCGAGGTGGATTTACATTAGCAACAAGATCAGAAGCCTCGGCTGATCCCGATACGGGTAAATTGAGAATAAAACTTGTTCCCGGTGGTGAAGAACTTCTTGTAGACGAAGAAGATGTGGAGAAGGTAAAAAAAAATTTTCCATTGTATTTTAATGGGTTATATAAAAAAAAAAAAAGAAAAAATTATTTTATTCAATATATTTAACTTTTATCGATTAAATTTAATTTATTCAACTGTTAGGCAAATCCACCTCAGTTTGACATGGTCGAAGAGCTCTCTCAACTGCGATTTCTCAATGAATCTTCAGTACTGCACACGCTGAGACAGAGATACGCAAATAATCTTATTCATACCTACGCTGGCGACAGCATGGTAGTGATTAATCCTGTCGCGCCCCTGGCAATCTACTCGGAAAAGGTCACTATCACTTTCAATTTTTTCTTATATTATACACTTGCATAATACAAACATATAGAATATATTTATCATATATCAATAATTTTATATGCTTATATAGTTAATCATATATATATATATATTTGTGTGCATAAATACAGGTAGTGCATATGTTCAAAGGCTGCAAAAATGAAGATATGCCACCGCATATATACGCAATGGCACAATCCGCCTACAGAGGAATGCTTGCGACAAGAAGAGATCATTCACTCGTTTTTCTAGGTCGCAGCGGAGCTGGAAAAACAACAAACTTCAAACACGCCTTGCACTATCTTATTCTAGCTGCGGGGACTGTTAATAAAGTATTTATTTATTCATTTTTGTTACAATAATTATAAGTAATTATTTACAAGTGGGGTCTAACATTTATTTTGGTTGTTTTTACGGCGAGTTTATGATAAAAAATGTTGTGAAAAAAAAAAAAAAAAAAAAAAAAAAAAAAAAAAAAAGATTTCGATAGCTTTTTTGCCTTCAAAAGTTAGAAAAAATTTTGGCTCTCATGTTTTTGGATAAAATTTCTATT